CTCACTAGACGTAGCAAGGAAGATGGACAATGAGAATTAAGTAAGTAGCATAGTTCCAACTATTAAGAAATACCATAGGAGCTGGCGAGATAGCTCAGTGGACTAAAGTGCCTGCTTAGGCAAACTGCAGGGACCATGGATCCTGCACATGTTGCACTAGCCCTGCCTCCAGGGCAGGCTGAGCTGGCCCAAGTCTGGGCATAGTGGTGCATGCCTGTAATCCCAGTGCTGGGGAGGCTGAAAGCAGGGGGATCACCATGAGTCAAAGCTGCGTAGTGAGCCCCTAAAACAACCAAATACTTAAAAAAAGAAATACTATAAATGAGGCATTATGGTAGTGACTGACTAGACTTGGACACTCCATTGACCAGCTGAAGTATTCTTCTTTGTGGGGATAGTACTTACCTAAGATCTGAAAACTTGAAATAGTCTGTCATGTGGAGAGTTGGGGAAAAGACAAGTCTGATAGATGGAAAAGCATGCCCAAAAGTTCTGGAAGGACCTTTTGATGACTTCAAAGAATAGAGAAAAAATGAGTGTGACTCGTGCATGGTCAACATATAGAGGTGGAATGGGGGACAAGTAGAGGCCAAATCAGGCAGGAATTTGTAAGCTCTGGAAGGGAGTTTGGACTTTGTTCAAAGAATAATGGGAAGATATTAGAGAGTTTCAATAGAAGAATGGTATAACATGATTTATGCGTTTTAAATGACAAAGCATATTTACATCACACTTTAACAAAAATAATGAATTCAAGAAGAACAATTACTTTAACATTTCATTAACAGAGTATATATACACTGCGGGCAAGTTTTCAAATAATTATAATATGAAATATGCTAATTCAATCAAAAATTGCTATTTCAGCAGTATTAGGTTAAATGCAAATAAATTCAGAAGTCACTTGGAGTGTTTTCAGTGACTCAAAAGTCACTAATGACCATTTTTGCTCAGGCTCAATGACAATATATCCTCTAATAAATTGTGACCACGAAGATTCCAGGCAAAGTAATCTCTGTTACTCCTCAAGAGTAGAATTCTTTATACAAAATAAGCATTTTGTGCTAGAAGTTTTCTCATCAAGCTGTGACTTGTGACTTGTATTAATTCTGAACAGCTAAGAGAAAGCCAAAGCCTCTTTTGTGGCTTCTATTCATGAAAATCTGAGCGGGTTAACTGAAAATGCCAGTGGAGCCAACATATAGTACTTGGCAAGTGTTTAAAGAATCTTAAGTCACCCTGTTTATGGGGTTGAGTTTCATACATGACCAGGGACATCAAGAGGTCACTTTCCTTCAAGGATACGCCAAATGATCCTCACACTCCTGATCTTCTCATCATAAATATGTCCTAGTGTCCTTGGAGCGCTATTACAAAACAAATATTTTGTCCTGGAGGAGTTACCCAATGATACCAAGTTGGTTTGTTACATTACCTGAATGTACTACCCAAACAAGATCATATAATTGTTTTCTTAAGTCAGGAGTGCAAGAAGATAGCACAGAGGAATAAGTGCTTTCCTGGCAAGTGTAAGGTCTTGAGTTCAATCCCTGGTACCACCAAAGAGAAAAAAAAAATTCTTCAAGTGCCTGCTTATGCAAATGCAGTCAGATGTAGGATACCACAGTTTGATTCCCAGTTCCACATGCCTTACCAGACCCACCCTTAAGGCAGCATGAGCCAGCCAGAAAAAATCCTTCTTAAGACAGGAGAGAAGTTTTGGAAATTCAACATAAGGGCTTAAAATGCTATGTCCAAGCTGGGTGTAGTGATGCATGTGTGTAATCTCGGCTAGTCTGTAGAGTGAGTATGGAGGATCATAAATTCATGGCCAGCCTGGAAAACTTAACAAGAGACTGTCTCAAAATAAAAACATAAAATAAAGTAAAACAAGCTGGGGGCATAACCCAATGAGAGAGCACTTGCCTTGCATTTACAAGACCCTGAGTTCAATCCCCAGCACTGAAAAAAAATAAAAAATTTCATGCCTTTAACTAAACTGCAGTACATTCAGACTGAATAATAAGTGATCAAGCCACAAAATGATATAGAGAAAGCTTAAATGCATATTACTAAGAGAAGTCAATCTGATAAATTTATTTACTACATGATTCCAGTAGATGTGATATGTCCATATACCAGTTTCCACAGATGAATAATTACTATGTATTACAAACACACACCAACTGAGATAAGAGAAAGAGAAACTGGGATAAGAAAAAAAAGGATAAATGAAAGAAATAAGGGGAAGGACCAGCCAAATAGCTCAGAGGATTAAAGCGCCTGCTTAGGCAGACACAGTGGCTGGGGTTTGATTTCTGCGCACTGAGACAGGGATTGAGACTGGGATGGTGATGCACGCCTGTAATCCCAGCTCTTGGGAGGCTGAACACAGGTGGATCATTATGAGTTCGATCTACATAGTAAGATCCTGTAGACCCTTACTAAAATACA